TATATATATATATATATATATATGTGTATATATATATGTGTGTATATATCATTGTCATTCCACATTTGTACACAACTCATAATTGTATAAAAAACCCACACACACACACACAAAACAAACAAACAAGTAAGTAAGTAAATAATCTCTTTACAGATCGTGGTTGTGTGAACATAAACACCACATCATGGACCACCAGTACAACAAAATGACAAAAATGATTGAACATTGATTCTTTTTCTTCTTCTGGCACTCGAGTTTTAATTGCTTCCACAGAGACACTAGACACTTGGAGAATTTTGTGAAACTGTGGGGATTTAAGAAGGTTTTACGCACCATTTCTGATCAGGGTGAACTACAATACAACAAGCTCCTCATGTAACCATGTAACCTTCACATCTATGTGAAGAAGACAAAGGAGATGATCGTGGACTTCTACAGTCAGAAAGGTGTTTCAGCACATTGATTCTCTTCAATGTGCTGAAACACCTTTCTGACTGTAGAAGTCATCAGGGTTGTGATGACTATTTGATCTGTGACATCACTAAAATAAAGTATTTTGTGAAATAAAGGGTTTGAGAATAAAACCTAAATAAATTAAATACAAATAAAATGTTTGTATTATTATAGATGCAAGCATGTCTTGTAGATATGTCATGCGTTTGACAACAGGTGAAGCAGGTGGAGAGACATAGCATACGGACCAGTGGAACTCCAGAGTCTGCCCAGGAGAGCTCTCTCTTCCTCATGAAATAAATGAAATTGATTTATTTCAGTCTCTTTATTTTCCTTTGTAAAATCAAATCAGTTAATTTTCGTTTACAAATTGATCTTTAACATACTCATATTTCTAACCTTTGAAAAATAATTTAAAGAACTCTCTTGTGCGTGTATAAGCTCCGTTTAGACAGGTGTTTGTTACAGGTGTACTGTACAGCAGCAGGTCCATCACTGAGAAGACGCACGAGGTGCCGCTGCGATGAGCCCAGATTATGACCTGTGCACGTTTTGTTTTTATGCAGATTAAACAACATTCAGTTCAACGCTCGTCTTCTGGTCGTCATTAAACACAACGCAGAGTAAACTACAAGAAAGATAAAAATGAACTGACAGGTTGATATTATTTGGGCCGAGCTGAGTTAATATCCGGCCAAGTTCAGCACAGTTACACAGCACGTTTTTCTCTTCGTTGGAGTTGAATATCTTCAGTCCGGCCCCAACCTCTTCACCTCCAGTTTTTCCTCAATAGACATTAAGCAAAAGGGGTTATTGATTAAATAATCTGGCTTGTTTATGCTAATATTGCTCACCATCGCATCTACTCAGTCTACGCTAAACCACGCCCACATACACTCACGCTCGAGGCATGTTATTGTACGTCCATCCTCATTGGATGACCCTGGGCTGAACAAAATTAGCCCCAATGAGCCGCAAACCGAGGGGGCAAGGCCAGACAGCTGTCAATCATTCTGAACCATGACGGAACAGTAACAGGACGGGGTTGTCAGAATTTAGCACTTTGGAACGCCCCTGGGATTTTTCCCAGGCGGTTTGACACTAGTTTTGTTGTAAATTGAACAAACTGTGATGCATTGTTTCTAAAATGTATTTTTAAGTTGTTATTTTTAAGTTGTTTTTTGTAACATCTTTATTGTAAATGCCAGACAGAGAGGGCTTAGCCCTCCTAGCACATTGACACCAGCCGTCACTGCACCTAGGGACAATTAAGAGTTACCAATCAGCCTAACATGCATGTTTATTTTGGTCTGTGGGAGGAAACCGGAGTACCCGGAGAAAACCCACACATACACGGAGAGAACATGCAAACTCCATCCAGAAAGGCCCTCAGACCAGGATTTGAACCGGTAACCTTCTCGCTGAGAGGCAGCAGCTCTTCCAGTTGTGCCACCGTGCTGCCTCTGCCCACACACGATACGAATAAACAAACAAAAAATCAAATAAATAAATAACTAAAAAACCTACAAACATTACCGTAAATGTCAATCGTGCACCTAAAACGCTCCCAAATTTGGGTGCACTCTATAGACCAGTCGTTACAGTAATCAATTCAGAGTGTTAATGCCTTACAATTGTCTTCCAATACAAATAAAATGTATCCAAATTAAAAGTCCAAACAGCCAAAAATATTAAGTCAAACATATGCTTGAAAATAATACTGATTGAGGAAAGTGCATCCTATGGTTCATTTCAATCCTTGCAGCCCATTGCTCTCCCTCTCGGTTTTCAAATCCCATTTAAAAACCCACTACTATTCAGTAGCTTTCAACACCAGAGGATCTGTGTTTTGAACCTGTACGCTCCACACTGGTTTGTCATCATATTTATTATCTGCATCGTTTTTAGGTCTACATTTTTGATTTACTTCATTTTGTATATTGCTTTGTGTGTTGTCTGTTGTTCTGTCTGTACAGCACTTTGGTTGGTCTTGTCACTGTTTTAAGTGCTCTATAAATAAAATGGTATGGTATGGGTTCAAAACCCGGTCCAGGGGGCCTTTCTGGGTGGAGTTTGCATGTTCTCTCCGTGCATGCGTGGGTTTTCTCCAGGTACTCCGGTTTCCTCCCACAGATCAAAAAACATGCATGTTAGGCTGATTGGTAACTCTAAATTGTCCCTAGGTGTGAATGAGAGAGTGAATGGTTGTTTGTCTCGTTTGTCTCTGTGTGTCCCTGTGATGGACTTGCGGCCCGTCCAGGGTGTACCCCGCCCCTCGCACAGTGATTGCTGGACATGGGCACCAGCGACCCCCGTGACCCAAAATGGAATAAGCGGGTAAAGATAATACCATACCATACCAATTTATTTATAGAGCACTTAAAACAGCAACAAGGCCAACCAAAGTGCTGTACAAAGGAAAATAAACATGCACAGCGGACAAGAAAACGTAAAATAAAAATACAGATACAAATAGCAGCAGAAGCTAACTAAAATGGCCAACAGTGTAGAGTACAGACAGGACCAAAACAAATCACACCATGTTAAAGGCAAGAGAATAGAAGTGGGTCTTCAAGCGAGACTTAAAGACTGAGAGTGTGGGAGCCTGCCGGACACTCAGTGGCAACTCATTCCACAGTCGTGGACCTGCAACAGAGAAAGCCCTGTCACCTCTGAGCTTACGACGGGTTTCTGGGACTGAGAGAAGCATCTGGTCTGCTGACCTCAGAGAGCGCGATGGGACATATGGCTGCAGAAGATCAGTGAGATAGGATGGGGCGGAAGGTGAATGGGTAGCCAGTGCAGGGAGGCCAAAACTGGCGTGATGTGCTCTCTATAGCCTGTACCAGTTAAAAATCGGGCTGCAGCATTTTGGACCAGTTGTAGACGAGCAATGGAGGACTGACTGATTCCAAACAGAAGTGAATTGCAGTTATCAAGCCTAGATGTTATGAAGGCGTGGATCACTGTCTCAAGGTTCTGGTATTGCTGAGATGATATTCCTCCTGACATATTCAATACGACATGCAGTCCTTCCTTCTATTTTATCTGCATATGGTGTCCTTATTGCGTTCGTCGATTCTTATAAATACTTGGATATTTTGGTCGATTCGCATCTCTATTTTGAGCCTCATGTCAAAAACTTGGTAACGAAATTGAAATTAAAATAGGGTTTCTTTTTTATAAGTAGATCCTGTCTAACTCTGAACGCAAGGAAATGCCTTGTAACTGCTACATTCCTCCCCTACATTGACTACGGTGACATTATTTACATGTATGCTCCTACAAGCTCGTTGCAGATGCTGGACACTGTCTATCGTAATGCACTAAGATTTATAACTGGCTGTAACTACCATACCCACCACTGTACCCTGCATTCATGGTCAGTTGGTCATCATTAACTTCATGCAGACTCTCACACTGGTACATTTTCATCTTCAAATCACTTCTTGTCTGTTGCCTTCATACATACATCTCCTCCTACATGTCACAATGTGTGTGCAGCTACAGCGTGCACTCTCAGGACATAATTACTTGCAGTGTACCCTCAGTGCAGACTGAACTAGGTAAAAGGGCCTTCTCTTACTCCGCTTCTGTAAGCTGGAACACCTTCTTAACATAATTGTCAGTTTAATGACCCCAAGTGGCAGACTGAAGAGACACAGATTTACAAAAAGTGATAGTTTATTTACAGTGCTGGGCACAGGTGTTTGGCAGCGGGAGGAAATGGGAGACATGATTAGAAATGGTGAATTTCAATTGTTTTCCAAGAATGAGTATTAGTGCAGAGTTTGTCTTACAGTTGGTTGTGTTGCAGGTCACGTCTGAGAGGAAAAGATTCAGAGTCTGACGGAGGAGGCAAGATCCAGATATGTGAGTATGAGATGAACGGTGGGTTGTTGTAGATGAATCCAGAGTAGAGTTTGAGCAGAGTTTGGGTGTGCAGGATTGGTGAGCCAGATGCAGCCAAGGAACCAGGAAGGATTCAAGCAGACACGAAGGGCAGAACTGGACAGATGGGTAAAATATCAACAGGTTAGTCTAGATTTAAACACTTTCAGAGTTCAGGTTGTCACAGAATTACCAGAGGCAATTAATGCTCCAGCGTAGGCTGAATGTCTGTCCGAGGCTTAAATGGTGCAGGAGGTGCAGGTCTGGAAACAGGTGCAGGTGTAGCTAATCAGATGATTAGCTGC